TTATTTGGGTCTACAACAGATGATACAAATGTTTGTGTCAGTAAATGTGTACTAACAGAGGCGGGGGTGTGTGTGGAAACAACGGGGACAGAGCTGCTGTCAGACGATCAGCTGTGCAGCGTCATCACAAACGGACGTAGCTTCACGTGACGCTCCGGAGGAAAGGACATCCCATTGCTCTTAAAACTAATATCCCTGCTTCTCGTGGTTTCCTCTCTCCATGCTTCCCTGGTGGGAGGGACTAGTCGTAGGGAAACGACGCAAGTGAGGTACGCAAGGAATCAATTTAACCGAAGTGAGAAGGACCCACAGTCCATAATCAAGCCTGCTTAGATGTAGCATGTATTCTTCACCACAGGGAGGCAGTGTGATACACAATCACTATTTTCACTTACCCGTTTTGTCAGCGTTTCTGTTGACTGTAAATCCTGGGATATTGAGTGTTTGAGAACACCGCGGAGCGCAGGAGCAAAAGGAGTAAACTGAGAGAGAGCAGGAGACTTCATGGTGTGTAAAGGCATCATGTTGTCATCATGTTGGAACTCTCCCGTCTCCTCCATCACGTGGCTGCTTGTGAGGCTTCCCTCTGTGAGATGATAGGCAAGAAGATAATTGAGTTTCCAACTTCTTAAAAACAGAAATTCAGCTACAACATCTAACCTCTTTCAACTCAAAACAGTGAACAGTTGCTCTGACCTTTGCCCGTCTGATTTCCATCACGTCTGTTCTCTGTTTGAAACCTGTCATTTCCTATTTCTGTCGACTGGTGCTGTCTCTTTCTGTTGAGGTAGGCTCTGATCTTCTGTGCTGAGTTGTCTGTAATATCTGCAGCCTGCAAATAAAAACACAGGTTGAACGACTAACATGTGAACGTAAAACTCTTCAAAGTTTAGGAATTTAGCTTATTGATGTTTTAATCCAGGTTTCATTGAGAAACAAATGTTTTTAAATGATTAAAAACAGCTAAATATGCATTATAATGTATATCAAACCTCTAAAAACGCAGCAGGTCCACGGGTTTGTCCATGTTCCATTGGTATTAGTTGATCAGGTGCACTGTGGAACTCCCGTGCTGCAGCCTGTTTTCCCTCTGAAACGTCCATGCTGACTGGGTGGGAAGCGTCAGGTGATATTTGTGCCATGCTGAAATCTGAACCTGGTGATGTCTCAGTTCCCTGGAAGCTCCACGGGTTGTTCACTCCTCCTTGTTGGTTCAAAATCAGAGTCGATTGACCATTATCATGATAATTTGATAGGATTTTGAGTTCTGTTGGTCTCTGATTGGTCGAGGCTGCTGATTGGCTGGGGTTTAGGAACTTGGCCCACTCTTGACCCGTAACAATTTCGTCCAGCAAGCTAAAGGAGCCCAGGCCAAACTCAAAGTCTCTGTTCGACCTGGAATAAGAGAAGAGATCTGGTAAATTAGATCCTGCACATGCATCTACCTCAGACTCCAAATCAGGAATTACCATCTAATCAATCGCACCAATGTATCAACCAATGACAAGTGTGTAATGTGCAGGTTATGAAATAATCAAACCAAACCACTCTGCCATATAAAATAGTCCCAAACAGATGCTCTATTTAATCCGTTTTAAGTAATGTTTCCTAAAAATCTACAATGTCCAGACAAAATGAATGAGTCTTTTAAAATAATAAACTATGTTTTATCTTTGCATCCCAAGCCTGACAAAGTTTTTTTCCTCTGTGTCATAAACCCTTATTTTTTTAATTGTATAATCTAGCCCCACTGTTGCACTGCCGGACATGTTTCTTCTTTAGAAGAAACATTGGGACTGTGCTTTGTTTAGAGTCAATCCAACATCCAACATAAAGCTGCTGTAATTACTCAATAGTGTACAACATGTGTTTTAATCAACGGCTGAAAATAGTCACAAAAAATAAACTATGCATTTGTGACTACATTTTAAAGATATATGTCTTGAGTTGGAATGAAAGGCTTTGGTGGACCATGGAGCAAAACAGACAGGGTAGGAAAAAAGACATATTGAAAGACCGACAACAGCAAGAAAAACACAGAACAACTCCGGTCTCATCATTTATCCACTGTCAAGAACCATCTTTTCAAGGAGATTGAGAAAGTCTGTGTGTATGTAAACATTTATCTGTTTCATGATGTTTCTTTTTGAGGTGTTATGAACAAGACAAGAGATTTATCGCATCATGAGAGTGATCGAAGTGGCTGATAACAGATGTTGTCAGTGACAGAGGTGTGTTTGGAACATCACACAATACATATCTCCCCAAACTAATATAACTTCTATGTTTGGAAACGTCTCAGGAATACCTTACATATCTTACTAGTGTCGTAGCAGAGACAAATAAATAAAACCTGACCTTGAAAACGTTTGCCTGTGTCATGCTGTCTTCAGTACTGGTTGCAGTGTATTTATTCTAGATGTTAAGTACAGTTTGTTGGTAGATTACCTCATATATTCTTCGTTTTCTGTGTGTGTGGGAGGGGGGTTACTTGGATCTCTGCTGTGAAGTGGAAAGAGGGTCCTTTCTTCCTCCTTATTTGAAGGGATGAGATTTACTGCTGTCGGCAGCTGGCTTTGAGGTGAAATCTGTGAAGTAAACAGCTGCAGTTTTGCTTTTTAGTTCATAGATTTGAATTTAGAAATAAGAAAATATCAAAATGCTCTACTCACTTCAGTTCCTTCCTCACTATGCAAGTCTACTCTCACTCCTTCTTTTCCCTTTCTGCCAAAACTCCCCGACCGGACCCATTTCTCCTTGATCTTCTGAGTCCATCTCCTCGTTTTATTCTCCGATAATCGCGGTGTCCTTCTCGAGCTGCTGTTTAGTGGCACAATCTGCAAATCTTTACTTTGTGCCAAATCTCCTAATCCTCCATTTCCTGTATGCATCACTTCATTCTCTTGACTTTTAACATCTGCATCTGTTGGCTTCGAAGACCAGACATAAACTTTGGGTTTAAATCTCTGGTCCTGGTTTTGATTCTGTCCCATGCTGGTGAAAGCATATTTATTGCTAGGCATTGTCGCTGCAAAACTACCCTCCCACGGCCCGTCAGTCCTCTCAAAGGAAGCGATATCAGCATCCTTAAGTGATCCAGCAGGAAACAGCTGCCCTGTTCCTGTCGGGGTAACTGCAGGCTGACTGTCACCATCAATGTTATCTTTTTGGGAGGGTAAGGAAATGAGAGCACTGTCCACTGCACAGCCATGACCTGGACTCTGTATTTCACCATTGAATCCAAAGTGACTGCCTGCAGCAGAGTTCCCACTCTCCTTTGAGGGGATACCATTGGGACTGAACTGAAAGCCATTTCCAGAACTGCTGTTCACTTTCTGGAGGTTGAAGGCTCTTCTCTCTCCGTCTTGCCCCCATGATGCAGCAGCTGTGGTGGGTACAGGTGTGTGCAGGTATGCCTGGCCCTCTTTTCCCGGCTGGAGCTTCAGTTTCTGCAGCATGGACTGCAGCAGGGCCTGACTGTCTTTGGGATTAGGTGACTGAGACATCTAGAAACAGTACTGCTGTGCATCAAATACAGAAATCCCCCAAAAGTATCTCAACAACGAGTGCATGTTATCACAACAATATAGTCCACTAAAATAATGGATTCCACAGTCTTATGTAATGTGTTCAATAACAGACTGCAGACCATGACATAAGAGGTTAGCTGTTGTGAATCACGTCACCTCTTGAGATTCCTGTGTTGGTTGTTTCTCTGTTTTTTTATAATCCAATCTTTTTTATAATCTTCTTTCTCAGTCCAAAATTCAAGATAGGTCCATCCCTTACAGTTCGACTTCCTCAGATAGGTTAGAAATTAATTTGTTTTCTCTGCGGCTGCTTCTCCTCATGGACGTTTCACTGTCATGCTGCATCCACTCTTCCATAATCCAAAAAAAGTTTCAGCAGCAGTCTCTTTTTGTGTTATTTTGGCAAAAAGCTGAACCAGACTCAAAACTATTCCTGACTTTCGTCCTCTGGTGTCTTTTAAAAGTCTCTTTCTCCAAACGTCCGTGGTTTCACTACACAAACGTTGTTTTAGTCACACCTCTTCAGCAACAGCCATATCAACTGGGATGGGAGGAGATACGGAGCAGAGCAGCGTTCCTCACACACTGAAGCAGACAAACGAGAAAGACCAGTGAGGTGAGATAATTACGCATTGACAGTGACTCTCCCTCTCTCTGTCTCTGCCCATCTTTCTGTTTGCCCTTCCTTCCTTCCCATTTCCCTTCCTGGATCTCTAGCTCCACACATGTGCACACTCCCGCTTTCTTCCCACCATGACCCTTGAGTCGTAATTACAGGGTATTTTTAGTGAGCTGCTGCTATTTATGTGTCTTCAGAATGAAAGAAATAAGAAAATGTAAGCTTGACCTTTGGACTTTCCCTTTTGAAACAAACTGTATTGACTTTTCTGTGAACCTAAAATATAAAAAGCAGGCCTGTACTTTCATTGTAGGAACAAAGTATGATAGTTTGAGTGGAATCCCATATTAGATACTCTGAGTTGTGTTGTTTTGTTTTTCCATTAGTACATTTTCCATTTAAATAATTATTGATTATATTACGAAAGAACAGATATGCATAATAATAATAATATTAAAGGATCCTTTTTTAGTTAGATCTACTTGTACCTGACTAAATCATTTAATGTATTTCTTACTCTTATTATTATTATACTATATTTACATTTCAGGTGTAAGTAAAATACAAACAATATTGTTAATGTTTTATTTTGTTATAATAATATTATTGTTCTGCAAAGTAACCTCTACATATAACTAAATATGTCAGATAAATGTCTGTAATGTAATGTAAAAATGATTTAGTCAGGTACAAGTTGGCCTACCTAAGAATGATGCCTTACTACTATTATTATTATTATTATTATTATTAATTCAATTCAATTATTATTTATGATCAACTTAGAAGCACATTGCGCATGCGCTAAGTCAACCACGCTCCTTTGAGTTTCAGCCTCTCTGATTGGTCAACCGTCAGGAAGCGGGTAATGGCGGCGTAAACAACCACAGATCTGTGCAGGATTGTCAAACCGCGGCTGAAAGTAAAAAATAAAGCTACAACTAAACGGAATATGTTTTCGGCACTACCAGGATTACTACTGGGTGTGCAAACCAATAAACCCTCGTTAAGTGACTACTTGATGGTGTTTTGGCTAACTTTTAGCCAACTCTGCTAACTAAACAGAAAAGCCTGGTTTGCAGAGATGGACTGCGTCGTGACGGGAGGCAACGTCAAAGGTACCACACAATTTGAACCATAGCTAGAGTATTACTACAGGACGTTAGGTTGCTGTTTATAGTAATATATATGTTGTGTATGTGTGTGTTTGTACCGTCCAGTGCTGGCCAAAGCCATCCACTCTCTGTCCAGGATCGGTGATGAGCTCTATGTGGAGCCTCAGGAAGATGGGGTGAGCTGCTCTGATAAACTGTCTTATACAACAACACTTCCTTATTACATGCAGCTTCCTGTTGGTACACTGTTTGCGTCGATGACTGGTGATGATTTTTTTTTTCTCTTGTAGCTGGCTCTGCGGTCTGTGAACTCCTCTCGGTCGGCATATGCTTGCTTCCTGTTCGCACCACTCTTCTTCAGCAGGTGCAGACTGTGTGTGTGTGTGTGTGTGTGTGTGTGTGTGTGTGTGTGTGTGTGTGTGTGTGTGTGTGTGTGTGTGTGTGTGTGTGTGTGTGTGTGTGTGTGTGTGTGTGTGTGTGTGTGTGTGTGTGTGTGTGTGTGTGTGTGTGTGTGTGTGTGTGTGTGTGTGTGTGTGTGTGTGTGTGTGTGTGTGTGTGTGTGTGTGTGTGTGTGTGTGTACACATTTGTGAGTGTCGTTAAAAGGAGCTTTAAACCTCCCATTTCTTGTGCAGGTATACCATCCCCATTGGGCTCGCCTTCCGCTGCAAGATGGCAATTAAGGTGTGGTGTGAGAAAGAGATGAGCTTACTTTCATGAAATGCTTTTAGTCACCAATTCAGTGATTCCCACACTTCTTTTGTATGACATACACCTCTTAAAAGCCCTTACAGATGAGCGTAGCTTAGTAATATTGGCATAGAAAAAAAAACATTCATAATATTAACACAGACATAGTGATCCTGGATGAGTCAATGTTTAGTCCTGGTCTAGGTTTGCCTGTGGTTGGGAATCACTGATCCCATTACACGAATCAGATCTGAGCCAGCTCAAAGCCCCCCTCCTGTCAGTGCTGCTTCAGAATGTTAGAATGTGTCAGATGTACCGTCCCTCTCGCTGCTGCTTTGTTTGTTTCCCATTCACACAGCCAGGTTTTACACCAGATATTTGTTCAGTGCACACATGTAAACATTTAGCCAGGGGACCATGAGGACATATTCACTGATATTGGCAAAAAGTGGTTAGAATAAGAATTGCAGACTGTACCTTCTATACAATTAGAGTTTCCTTTCTGGGCTTGGCTACCAACACTATCTTTCCTGTCATCTTGATAATTAGGTATAGCCAGTTGTACATGGCAGTAATTGTTATAAAATACAATTATGAATATGAGCTTATTTGGGTTAATAGCGGAATATTCCTGCGCATATGAACATAAGCAAGCAACCTGTCCCCTTGTTTATATACGTGTTTCCCCTTCTTATGTTCATCTGTGTGAGTCAGAGTGTGCAGGCCGTATTCAGGTCTATTGCCACGTTGGAGAAGACCGTGGAAAAGTGTCACATTGAGCTGGACGAGCAGAAGAACCTCCTCACCTTCACCCTGCACTGCAAACACGGTATCTGCTTCCACTCCTGCTCGCCTCATACAGTGACTCACATTGTTCTACGTGGACGATTCCAAAGGGATTACATCTGATTTATACTGACACATATTTTACTCAGCACCTCGTGCATTCATCACATAGTATTCTACGTGCTTGTGTTGGTATTTTCTCTGCAGGCCTCGTGAAGACACATAACCTGTCTTTCCAGGACAGTGAAAGCTTACAGGCAGTGTTCGATAAAGACAGCTACTCCAATGTATTCAGATCCCATCCAAGGTCTGTCAAATCTCCTTTTTTTCTTATTCGAAATAACAGACATCACATTTTCATGTTTACGTATGCCTCAAACCCCTTTGTGATGTTTACATTTCCTCTTGTCTTGTTATATATATCGCAATAAAGTGAACTAATGTTGCTGTCAAAGAAGAACTTGCATTAAGACACATGTTGACTCACCACATTAGAAAACGGTTACATTGACCCAGCCTTACCAATAGCACCTTTCTTTGCCTCCCTTCTTCTTTTTTGTTCCTGATTCACTGCTCACTCTTTATCGTCCCTTGCTCTCAGGCTGCTGGTGGACACAGTCGTGCACTTTCCCCCGTCTCTGGAAGAAGTGACCGTGTCAGTGAGTGATGATCGCATGTGGGTCAAAAACCATGTGGAGGACGAAACAGGTGAATACATTTTCACCCAGAGGTTACAGATGCACTTAAATAACTGAATACAACTCGTCAACTGTGTTTTACAAAGTCACAACACACTGTTTATTTATACTTCTCTTTGTAACCTTACATAGGTACTGTAGGTTTGAAGTGATGAGTACGAGTTTCAATGGGTGTTTTCAGTTAATACTACAGTAAAAAAACACTTCAGATGATACAAGAATGATAGAAAATAAACATAGCTTGATATTATATACTAACCCACAGCCCCAATCTGTCAGTGTGTCTTTAAGGTTGCTATAAATTAAATGCAACAAATATATTTAAGCCAGTTTCTACCCTCCTGTGGTAGAAAGGCAGAACAGCAGTATTACAGTGTGTGGTCTTGGCTGTTATGAGCCATTCAACTCTGCAACATCACAGCTTCAATGAACTCCTGTCTTTCTTTATGTTTCTCTTTTTGCCCGTTTCCCTCCCAGACCGGTCCAAGGCCATGCTGACGGAGCTGTGTCTGGCTTCAGACGAGTTTGACCATTTTTCCGTCCAAGTTCAAAACAGCGTCACCTTTTGTCTAAAGGAGTTACGGGTGAGACAAATGGAGGAGTGGTGGAGTAACAGAATAGGAGAATTAGTCAGAAGGGCGAATATTACTTCATTTTTCAGAGTGGAAAAGTTGCAGAGGGCAATTCTTAAATTTATTTAGCTGACTCTTCTATCCTAAGCAAACTACAATAAGTTCCTTAGCTATGTGGATACGCCAGGAATAAAAAATAACTTTTAAAATAAAAACTTATTGCATTGATGTTTTTTAATCAAGATTTTCTAAGTGAGTTTTTTTTCATCTTTCATCCAGGGTTTGTTAGTGTTTGCAGAGTCAACTGGTCTCCCAATTTCTATGTACTTTGATGAACCTGGCAGGTAAACAAACTTGCACACATATGTTCATTAATCCTTTGTGTAACTCCAATGTACTTACAATTGCTTTTTGTGTGTGTCAGCCCTGTAGTGCTTTCGGTAACAGACAGTGTCCTGGAGGGGAATTTTGTGCTGGCAACGCTTTCTGATGACTCCAACCTACGTAAAAACAACACTAAACGGTAATGCTGAAACTAAATGAGTGCTTAAAAAACAATGGTGAAAACGTTTTACTTGACTGCAATTTTCAAAGGCAGAACTCATTAAAAATCCAACTGTGTTGCCATTTGGTTCTTACGGCTGAGGGGAATTGTCAGCATTTACTCTGCAGAGATGCCACAACAACTGTTTCAAGAGATGCCTTACTTTGGTATCAAAGTCAGCTGACTCAAATCTGCAGGTGTGAGACATGAGTGAGAGGAATGTTAACACTTTTTTCCCTTGCCATTAATGCAGCACAGTTTTGTAATATACTCATACCGTTTTGTTTTGGTCTTGGGTTTACCAGAGATCTGCCCATGAGTTTCTTAACAATAGGTCATTCAGCATGAAAATAAATGACTCAACCTACAATAAATGGTTATCAAATAAGACCACATTTACCAATTAGTATACAAATAGTCAACGAGGGAGCAGCCTCTTAGTTTGGGATATAGAAATCTCGCACTGGGCTGATTGGCATTTTCATGTTTCTTCAACTTGGCAATTTAAAGCCTCTTCTGCAACATACATTTCTCTTCCTGGGTAAGAGGGACATAACTTGTAGAACCCCCATTTTCTTATATGCAAGATAAAAACATTAGATTTTCTACCTAATATCATGTCTAAAGAAGCAATTGGATAAAAAGTGAAACCTTAATCTTCACAATACAGTAACAAGATCATAAGATATACTCTCTTCAGTCATGACTACTATGACCTTACATCTCAGTGTGCTGAATGTCAGAATGAATCCAGGGAGAGGCGTACGTCTCACTTCCTCATTCATGGCATATTTCCCTCTATTGTGTCTCCTCAGAGCGTGCACACCTCCACCGCCTCCTGATGACTTCATGAATGACGACATGGACTCCTACCTCATCGCCATGGATACCAGTGTAATGCCAGGTCCCTCAGCTTCACGTCCACCCTCACCCCCGTTAACTAATTCCACAAGTTTAAAACAGACTGCTGCAGCCAATCACAGGACAAGGCTTCCCAGTGAGGAAGAGGAGGAGAAGGAAGACGAAGAAGAAGCAGTCGATTCAAGCGGACCCCCAAACAAGAAGGTATAGTTTGGTTTTCAAATGAATACATTAACTATTAGGCTCACAATCAAATGGCTGGTAGATAAATGTATAAGCAGGGTCCTTACAAAGTCATGAAGAGTTTGGAAAGGGCTTGATTTCAAATGTTTTTTTTAAGGTTAAGAATATGAGTTTCAAATATATTCCTTAAAAATACTTGCTCTTCAACATTATGTGATGTTTTATCTGGACAATCCCTCATGAAAAGCTAAATCTTCAAGTCTTTGACATGAAACATCGTCATACTTTATCATATCATGATCAAAACAGTGGTTGAAATAAACAGTGTCCAAATACATTGATTGCTGTGGATACAAAAGTATTCTGTCAACTTTTTTGGATTTTTTTGTAAGATAAATTACATTTATTGGAACAATTTGTATCCTAACATCTTTCTTTACTAATATAATTTGGAAATACATGTTTTAAGCTACTTTGAAATTGCTGAAATGTTACTCTTATAAGCTGTCTAAAGCCTGTTTACTGTCAGAAGCTCACATTACAGTTCTCTTATAAATAATATTCATCACTTTTTTTCCTCTCGTAGTTCTGTTCCTTGTTCTTCGGCTCGGTTCTTCCCCCCTCCTCTGAGATGACCACTCAGCCGCTGACAGGTCAGGAAGTGTTGGCCAGTGACAGTGAGGATGACGTACTATAGAGCCACACTGGACCGATGGAAAAGAGACGAAGAGGAAAGAGACGGACTTTTAATTTAACCCACAAACCACCTGCAGCGCTTGAAACAAAATGGAAACCATGAACCTTTATTTGCTATTTTCTACTTGGATTTCTTTTGTGCAAAAATATGCAAAGACTAACAAACTATAACGTTAATGGTGGACTTCAAATTAGAGGATTATGTGACAATGAACATGAAGCACTTCTCAGTTTGGTTTTTTTCATTCAATGTCTGTTTTATTTGTGATCAAAGTGCAACAAAGAGCTCCTCTAAATAAAATAATCATATTTTTGAACTATGTTTACATTATTTATTTACATGTCAAAAGGTTCAAGTAGAAGAAAGATCTGCACAAAAGAAAGAGGGTTCCTGAAGGTCTGAAATCTTGCCCCCAGATCCAGTTAGGACTTGTCTTGTCTTGTCAGAAGTAAGACTCAGCGTAAGAAACAGAATGTCTATGAGTCTGTGATCCAGTGTTTGCAGGTTGCGTCACCTCACTACTCTCTTTCTCTCTTTGCACCTGGAAACCTTTCCCCCTCGTCTGCGGTTTCCTCTTCTCTCGCTCTCTCTCCTTCGCCAGCTCCTTCTCTCTCTTCTTCCTCGACCTCTCCTCGTCTTTCTCCCTTCTCTCTTGCTCCCTCCGCCGCCTCCTCCTCTCCCTGGAGCTCAGTTGATCCCCCTCTTCTTCCTCTACAGGTGTCTCCAGCCCTGCTCCATCACTGAAGTCCTGGATCAAGATTTTGGGGACTTGCAGTTTGGGTGCCTTTTTTGACTGCTCTCCTCTCAGTCTGCGGAAGAGACCAAAGCGTTTAGGGGGGTCGGGCAGCGGCTGTACCACTGCCCTCTCAGTCACTGCAGACAGAGTATTTTGGGTTGTGTTTGCAGCACTGTCTTTTGCTTCTGGTTGACGAGGAGTACGCTTTGATTGGCTTGTTTTCTCTGGCATGATGAAGAGGTCTTCAGAGAGCCTTCGGGCTAACCTGGAACCTCGAGAGCTCGACGCCTTGCGGACGCACAAATCCCCAGAAGACCTGCTGCTGCGATTCCCCGAGACTTCTGTCCCGCCACTATTACCCGGCTCAGTCTGCTCTTTCACGAGGTGAGAATCGCGGACTTGTGAGATGCTCTTGATATTAGAAGAGTCTATAGGTTCAGTAGAAAGGAAGACGTCGTCCTCTCCTACAGTGTGTTCATGGACAGATTCTGGACTTCCTTCCTCCTCCACAGCGCCCATAGCGACCTGGATCTCTGGCTGTTCAGGTGCAGGTTCCTCTGAGGGACTCGTTTCTTCTGGATTCAACTTCCAATCAGGCTCAACGGTGAGAGCCTCAGCCTCAAAAGGTTCTTTAGAGTCAGTAGTCTCTGTTTGTGTTTCTCCTGCTTGTGTCAGATCATTGTCAACCTGCGCCTCTGAGTTTGCCATCAAACAGCTTTCCTCTTCCTCTTGTGTACATTCTGCATCACACTCTTTCTCCAATCCTTCACTTGACTCCATCACTATTTCGTTTGTACCTGCTATTTCTTCCTCAGTGTCTGTTTCAGCTTCTGTTGGTTGCATGCATTCAGGGGAACATGATATTACTGTTTCTTCCTCAGTCTTTGAATCTATGTGATGTACCGAATCTTTTTGTACCTTTTCAGCCTCTAATTCCTGTGTGGCTGCATTTCCCTCTTGACTCTGCGCCTGTTCTTCAGTGTGTGTCTCTGTTTGGGTGTGGGACTCTTCTTGATTGTGTGTCTCTGCTAATGTCTCGGTGCTGTGGTATTTCCCTTCAGGTGCATCTCCCTGTGAGCTGATGTCTGTCTCTGTGATCACTTCTTGTTGTTGTGTCACTGTCTCTTCTGTTGAAGCTTCATCTTCACTCTTTATCTCTGTGTCCTCCTGCATCTGGCGCTCAGATTCTGTGCTCTCCTGTGGTTTCACGTCAGCCTGAATCATCTGTTCCTCACCTGGGTACAGACTTCCTTGCGTCTCTTCCTCTGTGATTGTATCTTCATCAGCATCTTTCTGTATCTCAGTCAGATTTTCCTCTGCATGTTCGATTTCTTCCACTGGTTTTTCTGTCTCGTCATTTGTTTCCATCACCTCAATTTCCAGCTGCTTGCTTTCATGACTCTGCTGCTCCAGGACTTGTGATTGGCTGTCAGAGTCCAGCTCCTCTCCCTGTTTCTGTTCAGCTGGATGAAGAATATTTTCAACAGTCTGATCTTTGGTTTGATCTGTTTCCACTGTTGTTTCTTCCGTCTGTTCAGAAAACATTTCGCTCTCCTCTGTCTCTTTGATTTGTGTTTCCTCCTTTTCAGTGATTTCCACTTGTTCTTTTATGACTGTTTCTTCTACATGCTCTATCTTTTCAGGCTCTTCTGGGAGTTTTTTCTGTTCAGTACTTCCCGTCAGTTTGTTTGGTTCCTCTAACACAGTGTCCTCCTCTTCCTGTACGCCCTGCACCTTTTTGAAATTGAGCTCAGCCCAGCTCCTGCAGTCCTCCTTTGCTCCCATTGAGAGATGCCTCACAACTTTGCCCCCACTTTCCCATTCACGTGTGGTCGTCTTTGCCCCTCTACCCCACCTCTTGCTAAGGAGGGCGGGAGAGAGCGAGAGAGTGGAGGCAGAGCGAGCAAGAGGGACGGACAGGTTTCCTTTCGCTCTCTCTTTCATGTCCCGCTCTTCCTCGTTCTGTCGCCCAATCGCCCACGCCATCCTGTATCCCTGGCAGCGACCTCTGGGGTCAAAAGTGGATGAGGGTCTGTCAGTCCTCCACTTTTTCAACTCCTTCTCCGTCTGCTTCTCCAGATCTCTTGCTGAGAGCTGCACCGAGCACACCTGAGGAAGTAAAGAAAACACCGGTCTCACTTTTATGTTTATTTTCGAAATGTTCGATAAGATATTGCGTCATTTTGTGCGGATATTAATACTTTCTAACACCAACATTCTTCACAGGTGTTTAGTTGGGATGAAATCAGGTGACTTACCTCTGCAATGAAAGGATCATCTTCCTCCTGGACCTCCTCCCTGACGCCCCTCAGCCTCTCCAGGGTCTCCATCTGACCCGGGCACTGCTTCCTCTGCTCGGCCCGGCCCAGCACCCGCCGCACCAGGACCACCGCCACCTGGAGCAGCACCCGCACCCCTGCTCAGAAGAGAGGAGAGGGAGGAGTTTATCACAACATATGCTGTAAATATTTACTGCACACTTTATCATTTTACATATCTTTTTTTAATTTAATTTAATTTGCATTTTAAGAAAATATTCACAAAGCATACATAACCAAATAAACACATCTAGGTACATAGATTAACTACATAACAGATGACAAATCCAAAAATAAATAATAAATTAATTGTAAGGATACCATAAATAGGTAGGATCATTTCACATATCACTCTTTAAATCACACACATTTCACATGTCTTGATGTGTGAAGTGTTACTTGCAGCTAATTGCATTAGTGTCAGTTGCATTGTTTTATGGATATTCTATGTTGAGATGAGGTCAATATTAATACATGTTTAATATCTTTAGGATGACATTTATTTTGTGTTGTTTTTTTACATAACTAAGACAACAGAAAAATAAAAAAACAGGCTCTGTCCAATTATCTGAGGAGACAAACGTTTGATGGTACCAGTCGCTAATCTTGTTGGAGATCCTTCATTGAAAAACAATTGAGACACATTGAAATGTACCATCAAATATAATATGATGATTATTGTGTCTAAGATATTACTATTTTGTTAACATTGCCTTACTTTCAGGACATCATTTGAGTTGTTTTGACCCATAGCAGCCTATATGGAGGACGTACCATGGCAGAAGAAAAGGTCCCAGACTCGGAGCAGTGTGTTGAAGGGCAGGTGACGTGTAAAGAGACACATCAGCCAGTCCGTGGCGAACATGAGGGGCTCCACCCCGTGGTGCTGCAGGTGTTTGTGAGCAGCTGGACACGTCCTCTTCAACACCCAGGTCAGCATGGCCGCATCAAACAGGACTCCCTCCTACAAAGGTGCACATGTTTAGACCGTTCAGGAATACAGATCTGAGTAATACCTGTTAGTCATTTCATGATAAGTGGAAGTTTTCTTGAAAAACTATCTACAGAACGTTACAGTAGAGTAATATGTTGTGTGTGTGACATACATAAGGGCAGTGCCAGGGACATTATGTACTGTGTGCATGTGTGCAGGACCTCACCAGCAGAGGGCTGTAGTATCCAGGCAGGTACTGATCACTGATCTGCACCAGACACCAGAAGGCCTCCTGCAGGGGTCACATCAGAAGAAATGGAATATAAAATCATAATAAGTCAACATCAGATGCCACAATAGCCCCTACATAGTTAGGACAATACTTATATATCTTTAATAAAGTATACATCAATTTGTCAAGCATCTCTTTGTGGGACAGAATGCTAAAAAGCTAGTATGTTAAAACGATCAAACTTAAGTACAGACTACAACTTCTTTGGACATAAGGGTATACTGTGTGTGTTATTGACTGTTACCTCAGCAGGCATGTTCATCAGCAGCACCGCAGCCACAGGCCCCTGAGCCTGGCAGTAACCCTCCTCTGGTTTGTGCTGAGTGTAGGCTTTCAACACCCGGAACAAACCACGCTGCCTGCACACAAACACACCACAGCAATCAGCCACACAAACAATCACCGGTAAACAAAATGTTAATCTCATCATTATGTTGTTTAGATAAATTGACAAAGTAAACATGTAGACAGGTCAACATCACTACCTAATTTCTTAACTTTGTGCAACAGAAATACCAACAAGGAAGGACTTTAAATATGAAGTGGTAACAGCTAAGGCTGATTGAAAAATCTGAATTTTCAGAAGCTAAATGCTTTTCAACAGAAACAATTAGAAGTGGGAATGTTTCTTACCCGTGTCCATCCTTGGAGAGGAACATTTCATGGAAAGGGAACTGTCGGTCCAGGTCTCTCTCGATCACATCCACCCAGCTCTGCAGAGCCGGCTGCGAGTCCAGGGTCTGCCACAGAGACATGGAGGGTTTAATTCAAACATATGTTTCCACTTCAAATGGCAAACTCATTAACCCTTGTGAGAGTGTTTAATGTTCTTGCCTGGTAGAGGTTTTCGGTTTGTTTCATCTTGTCAGTGGCTCCACACAGCAGAGGCCAGCACTTAGCTCTGAGTGAGGCTGGGATGCCTTTCTGACACTGCACTTTGACCTGCAGGGACGGTGGTAACACACACAGGAACAGCAAAAAACAATTACTACAATCATTTTTGATCAGGGTAAATGTGCAACACATTTTCAATCTTAGCAGGAAAAGGACTGGTGTGACTACTAACATGAACAATGGCTCTTAGAAAGGACGCACCTTACTGGTCTTCTTCAACAAGATGCGATCCCATTGGCTGATGATATTTATCCACTTGGTCTCCCTCTGCCGGACCAACTCAGGGGGTGGGCCCACAGTCCTGACACAAAACAGTGTATAAAATAACACACCCAGTAAGTGTTTTCAACATCAGGAAGGAACAATACTTCAAACATCTATTTAATAAGACAAGGGCATTGTTTTGCACACTGTCTTATTTTCACAGATAGATTTAGCTGTGATGTTTCAAAAATAGCCCTTCATCATGCAAACGGTTTGTGACAATAAGAAGCTATTTTAAATAGGGAGTGGCTCTGCAACCAAACATTACATTACATTACATTGCATTTAGCTGACGCTTTTATCCAAAGCGACTTACAATAAGTACATTCGACCAGGAAGACACAACCTTGAAGAAAACAGAATCATATAAGTACATCAGGTTTCATAGAGCCAAAACATTTCAAGTGCTACTCAACTGGCTTTAGATAAGCCAGTCCTTTATTAGTATATAAGTGCTTTGTTAATAGTTCTATCGCTCGAAGTGGAGTTGAAAGAGATGAGTTTTCAGTCTGCGCCGGAAGATGTGCAAGCTATCTGCTGTCCTGATGTCAATGGGGAGCTCATTCCACCATCTTGGAGCCAGGATAGCAAACCCACGTGTTTTTGCCGATGGGAACTTGGGTCCCCCTCGCAGCGAGGGCGCAGCGAGTCGTTTGGCGGATGCAGAGCGTAGTGCACGCGCTGGGGTGTACGGTTTAACCATGTCCTGGATGTACGAAGGGCCAGATCCATTCGCAGCATGGTAAGCAAGTACCAGTGTCTTGAAGTGGATTCTAGCAGTTACCGGAAGCCAGTGAAGGGAGCGGAGGAGCGGAGTGGTGTGGGAAAATTTAGGAAGGTTGAACACCAGACGAGCCACTGTATTCTGGATGAGCTGCAGAGGTCGGATGGCACATGCAGGTAGACCAGCCAGGAGGGAGTTGCAGTAGTCTAGGCGTGAGATGACGAGAGCCTGGACCAGAACCTGCGTCGCTTTCTGTGTCAGCTGGGGACGTATCTTCCTGATGTTGTAAAGCGTGTATCTGCAGCAACGGGTTGTGGCAGCTATGTTTGCAGTGAAGGACAGGTTGTTATCTAGGGTCACACCCAGATTCCTTGCAGTCTGAGTCGGGAAAACAACTGAGGTGCCGATGTTGATTGTTAGGTCAAGAGTGGGACAATCTTTTCCCGGAAGGAAGAGCAGCTCAGTCTTGTCAAGGTTGAGCTTGAGGTGATGAGCAGACATCCACTGAGAGATGTCAGCTAGACAAGCAGAGATGCGTGCGACGACCTGGGTCTCTGAGCGGGGAAAGGACAGAATTAATTGGGTGTCGTCAGCGTAGCAGTGGTATGAAAAACCATGCGGGCTAATGACTGATCCAAGTGAGTTTGTGTACAGGGAGAAGAGAAGGGGACCAAGAACAGAGCCCTGAGGGACCCCTGTAGTTAATTGACAAGGGTGGGACTCAGAGCCTCTCCAAGTCACCCTGTAGGTACGGTCTTTCAGATATGAGGTGAGGAGGGAAAGTGCAGAGCCTGAAACTCCAAGTTTTTGGAGAGTGCGAAGGAGGATCTGATAATTCACCGTGTTGAATACAGCAGACAGGTCCAACAGGATGATGACAGAGGAGAGGGATGCAGTTTTGGCAGTGTGCAGTTTCTCCGTGACAGCAATGAGAGCAGTTTCTGTGGAGTGACCTGCCTTGAAACCAGACTGGTGCGGATCCAGAAGGTTATTCTGATGGAGATAACAGGAGAGTTGTTTAAAGACAGCGCGTTCAAGTGATTTAGACAGGAACGGGAGGAGAGAGACAGGCCTGTAGTTTATAACATCAGACGGGTTGAGAGTAGGTTTCTTTAGGAGAGGGTTTACTCTTGCCTCCTTGAGACTGTTTGGAAAGTGACCAGAAGTTAGAGAAGTGTTGATGAAATGGGTGAGAAACGGTAGAATATCAGGAGCGATAGTCTGAAGGAGGTTTGAAGGGATAGGGTCCAGAGGACAGGTGGTAGGGCGGGCAGAGGTAATGAGGGTAAGAACCTCACTTGGAGAGAGAGGGGAAAAGGAGGTTAGTGTGTTGGTGGAAGGAGGGTCTGGTGACCCAGCGGTGAGTAAAGGTGAGTCAGAAAAAGAAGAGCGAATATCATCAACCTTTTTTTCAAAGTGGGTAACAAAGTCGCTTGACAGAAGTGAGGAGGGGGGAGGGGCTTTTGGAGGGTCTAAGAGGGTGGAGAAGATGGAAAATAGTTTTTTAGGATTGGAATAGGAAGATTGGATCTCATCTTGAAAGAAAGTGCTTTTTGCCTGAGAGATCGAAGCAGAGAAAGAGGAGAGGAGAGCCTGATAGGTTAGGAGGTTGTCACGGTGTTTGGATTTCCACCGTTTCCGCTCTGCTGCCCTAAGGACGGTTCTATTAGCACGCAGTGCATCATTTAGCCAGGGAGCAGGAGGGGACTGACGAGCCTGCCGAGATGTGAGAGGACAGAGAGAGTCCAGAGTGGATGAGAGAGTAGAGAGGAGAGTTTCTGCAGCAGAGTTTGAAGGCAGGAGTTGGAACGAGTCAGAGGAACGGAGGGCTGAGAGCACCGACGAGGCAAAGGTAGAGGGGGAGAGGGAACGAAGGTTACGGCGGACAAGTGCAGGATGAGAAGCGATTAGTTTGTTATGTTTGGAAAGGGGTAGAGAGAATGAAATGAAGAAGTGATCGGATGTGTGGAGCGGGTTTACAGAGAGGTTAGAAGTAGCGCAGTTCCTTGAGAATATGAGATCAAGGACATTGCCAGCTTTATGAGTCGGTGGGGACGGAGACAGTGAGAAAGCAAAGGCGGTTAACAGGGATGTTAGTTCGTCTATCTTCCCTGTCTGGAGGTTGAAGTCGCCGAGAAGTACAGCGGGAGGGCCAGTTTCAGGGATGTGTGAGAGGAGATTATCTAATTCCTCCAAGAAGTCCCCCAAGGCGCCTGGTGGACGGTAGAGAACAACAATGGTTAACTGTATAGGATGGGTTACTGTGACGGCATGGAATTCAAAGGTGGAAGGAGTGAAGTTAGGTAGCTTGAAGAGGGAAAAGCTCCATTTGGGAGAGAGCAGGAGACCAGTGCCACCTCCTCTGCCAGTTGGTCTGGGTGTATGGGAGAAGGAATATGCAGTGGAGAGAGCTGCTGGGGTGGATGTGTTGGATGGAGTAATCCAGGTCTCAATGAGAGCAAGGAAATCCAGAGACTGCAGGGAGGCGTAGCCAGAGATGAAGTCAGCCTTAGGAACAGCTGACTGGCAATTCCACAGGCCACCTGAAACTAGATGTTGGATCTCAGTGGAGCATGTGGGATAGACGAGAGCAGGCCGGTTATATCGATTAGGAGATACACGGGGCCAGTGATAATTGCGAGAAGACACATGAACAGGAATGGAGAAAATACACATGATTATAGCATGAGGGGCTAGAAAACTAAAGAAAAGATAAATAAGACACCAGCTCAATCAGAGTAGGATTTGCCTCCTCTTTGCCTCCCTCGTGACTCCCGTAGGACACCAATGTCTTTGTCAGTCTTCGGCTGTCTGACGCAAACACACATTACATTCACCACATGCAATAAGAACGCATACATACCAAACATTAGTTTACTTTAATAACAGTCACCAGCATCATACATCAAGCCAGTAAATATTAACAATCCTTAATGTGCTCCTAAGTGCTCAGAAAGAATACGTGATGTCTTATCAGATGAATGCTTAAAGTCCCAAAGGCTAAACAGCATTTTGATTAAGGTGCATGCCCAAAAACGGCAGCTTACATTTGTAAAGTAACCTGTATGGAAACATTCACATGGCACATAACAGATGTGCATCAATACATAAATATAAACCCTCATAATAAATACTTTTTAATAAAAAAATTGCAGTGTGCAGAAGTTTGTTTGCAACTTTGGAAAATATTTCCAAACACTTACTATTCACCATAAGAACTAGAGCCTTGTATGTGTCTCATTCAGTGACTGGACAGCACTAAGGCTCTCCTTAAACTGCAGGCCTTTAAGTCAGAGTGCAGAGCTGCTACTGCATGCACCTTTTTGTGTTGTCATTATAGAGAGACTGTGCACCAAAAAACAAGACAGGAAACAGGAAAACCACACGGTAGCAGTGTGATGTCTCCATGGCAACAGGTCAGGATGTTATGAATGGGGAAAGCGTCAAGTCGGCAGGTAACAGTTTGTTCAGCTTTACTGATCCTGAAGCTACATTCTTCATCTGGTCCACTGCCAAGATGTGATGTTTCATTGTTGATGTGATGTAAATATGTAGTCAATGTATTCTTAATTAAATGAATCTGAAATATAAAAATGTTTTCACTATACTTCATGTTCACCTTTTATGGTATGAACTCTTTCATACGTGGATTTTACACCTTTATACAGAATTATAATTATCAGCATTATTGCAGCACCCCTGTAAGTAAGATTAGGTCTTGTTCTACCTTTCTGATGTTCAATTGTGTTTAACTCTGACAACTGGAGATTAGGACTTCCTGCATGTCAAAGTGGCTGACAGCTGGTTTTTAAAGTCAGGCATCAAAATGAATCCTTTTCCTCACCAATTAAAGTCTAACATGCTCCTGCAAAAAGAGTAATATTTTTGTAGATGAGCATGTAAAAATGACCACTAAATATGTACATTTAGGTTTTATGCACTGGCTGCACCTTTCATGTGGCTGTCCCTCATTTATGCTCTAAAGTTCAAATGTTCATTTCTGTATACAAATGTATTAGCAGAACATTTTTGATGTACCCTACTTATAACAAACTGTCCACAACTAAAAATCAAATGTCATTTCAAATGTTTACCTTGATTTTAAAGCTTGTTAGATTCTCATAGCTGCTTCAACTGATTCCAAAGTCTGCATACAGATATTTGGTGGTGCTCCCTTAAGCCATAATGCACCAGAAAAATAGTGGAATAATAAGATTGGAACAGTCCCATTTAAATATTAGACTTGATGAGGACATTTAACTTTCTAATATAGCCAATATCTAGCAGGTCTTTTTTTATTATAAACTAATGATCTCCCTTTCTTGTTGTATAGTGCTTGAATTTGAACATTTAACTTATTGGAGCACTATTTTATTAGCCCAGTTGGATGTGTCTTTATGCGGCTTTCACACCAGCGCTTTTCCCTTTCTAGCTCCGAGCTAGAGCTTTTCTGGTTCAGCTCCGGTTTCCCTTTTCTGCTCCCGCTCTGTTCACACCGCCCAGCACCCGACTGGTGCTGCCGCTGCTGCGTCATGACGTCATCGTTTACATCGCTGATTTGCTCCCCAACGCCATTACGGCGCTCACAACAACGGGGAACTGCGTCGGGTCGATGATCGTGTTGCTTTTAATCACACGAAGCCAGATTAAATTGAATAACGACTTCTCCAACCTTGTGCCGTGGTTCATTGTTTATTAATGTGTTTCTGCAGCATTTACCGACCGCTGCAGTGTTGGCTGCTCTTCCACGGGAGTTTATTCTCCTCCGTTAGCTCCTGGTTAGCTCACACTGCTGCGGCCGCTCTAAAGTATTCACTGTCCGACTCACACAAGCAGCTGATACATATCCCCAGTTCCCCTTAGCCTAAGTGAATGTGTGTCAGTCTGAATTGACGCTGTTTGGTATCACAACGCTGTTATGAAAGTTTCTCTGGTATAAAATGGGTGATGTTAGCATAGCAACCGAAGCTAAACTGACTACTTGCTATTGCTATCCTATTGTGGCATAAACCGTTTTCTACAGGCACATTTTACCGGCGTATTTTGATAATGATTCTACTTGTGATAGTCGGACACGACAACCTGTGCAGCCCATGTATTGATTCCATCCGATAGCTGCTATAATACAAAACAAAACGTCTGCCTCTCTCCACAATGATCAATAACAGTGAACGGATGGTCAAAGTAAGGTACAAATAAACAGAATCACACGAAGCCTGGTTAGTGTTGCCTGACTTTATAAAGTGTGTTTATAAGCACTACTGCTTGTAGGCAGGCATGACAGTCGACCCATGTTCAGTAGGGGTGGGCGGATCGATCCCAAAATATCGATACCTCCGATATTACGTTACGTTTCAAAATATCGATACTAGAGCCAATAGGATCGATACTGTTATACCTTTTTTTCTCGTCTCCTCTACTCGTCAATTTCTTCAAAAAACTATGTGCAGACGAACACAAGTATATGCTCTTTTCTTCTCTCTCCACTGCTGTCCTCTTCTCCTCGAGGCTCCCTGCCTGAACGCCGATTATCAAGCTGACTGACAGCAGCCAGCAGGGCAGGACAGCAGCAGCCAGCGACTCGCGAGTGCAACACACACACGCGCATGATGGCTGAGAGAAAGAGCAGCGTTGTGTGGAGCAATTTCACAACTGGCCATTAAAACTTAGCGAACTGTGATGTGTGCAAGAAGACAGTTCGCTACTTTGGCCACTTTGTATTGTTATTTTTCATGTTTGCACTTTAAATTTGCAAAAGTAAAACGTGTATTTGTCTATAAAAACTGTCCTGTCTTTATTCATGAAAATGAATTCAGATTTAGTCTATTTATGATGATTTCAGCTCAAAAATCATGTCATGCAGCTCTCCCCTATATGAAAGTACATAAGACGCTTTTCATTAAAAAAAGTATCGGTATCGATATCGGCGATACTGGCCCTGAAATACTTGGTATCGGATCGAATCCAGATTTTGTGGTATCGCCCACCCCTAATGTTCAGGGGAGGAGGGTTTAGTTTCATGCACGCCTCGACGTAAGAGAGACGTAAGCGACGCCACCTCTTAGCTCCGAAGCTCTTGCCTCTAGACCGACAATTTGTTAGAGCTGGAAGTGAACCCGATTCCGGAGCTAAGAGCCGGCGCCGCTGCGGTGTGAACAGGAAAAACCGGCGCTTTTCAGGCTCCAGCTCCGAGCCGGAGCTGAAAAAGCGCTGGTGTGAAAGGGGCATAAGATGCAGAGCCACTTCTGTCGTATAAAAGCATTGGATTAAAATGCTGGTTGTCAGATGCTTGCTCTCAATAGAGATATGTGGTCTTGCTTAAGAAGATGACTTAGTTTGTGAAAATCTCTTCAGCATACATCCCACGACCTCTTAAACTAAGTAACCTGCGATACACTTAAGGGATAGTTTCTCAGCATCCAGGGGAAAAACTTGTTTTGAATGTACAACAAGTATTCCTGAGAATTAAAATAGAGAACTAGTATACAGCACAAATGTGGAAGTGCTCACCCAGCTGTGGATCCATTAGTCAGAATGAAGCCAAAGCGGTCAGTCTCAGGTTCAGGGCCGACCTCTGACCCTGCATCAGATCCAGAGCTGTCCTCTTCACTGACGTTCTTCTGACTCTTTGGACTCAGCATCTTACTGAAGAAAGAAATATCTCATAATTCATCTGACCTTATTTCGTCATCATGACTATGTGAAGCTGAAGCGGTTTTAAACTGTCTCCTACATGTGGATGTATCAAAGACGTTCAGCACAAAATATCTGCTCTGGATAGGGTATGTCCAGGTTGTTATTCTTTGAAGAACGTGCCTTCTTGCTACACTTAAGAACATTTTACAAGCTTTACAACATCCCTTCCTTTCAAGCCACGCTTATGACTTGTTTATGGCATTTTCTTTAGTAGAGCAGAGCAGCGTAGAGCAGTTTAAGTCTACTTCCTTGTTTCTACACAAAAATGTAACCAACACGCAAGGACTGTTGTTGAGCATCTTAGAATATGCATTTTAAAGTACTTACCTTTTGTATTTAGGTCATGTTTATCACTCGGTAGAAGAGGTGAAGTGTGAGATCCTCCAAGTGACAAGGAAGGAAAAATACTTCCTCTCCTCTTCTATTCTCTCATATATATATCTAGTATATATCATCTCTAACATCTGTCTATGTATATGTCTCTATCTCTATCATATACTCTACTCTCTCTATTTCTATTCTCTCTCTCTCTCTCTGTCTCTGTTGTCTCTCTGTCTCCTCTCTCTACTCTCTCTGCTCTCTCTCTCTCTCTCTCTCTCTCTCTCTCTCTCTCTCTCTCTCTCTCTCTCTCTCTCTCTCTCTGTCACTCTCTCTATGTCTCTCTCTCTCTAATCCATGATGCCCCTAACCAACTTCCCCTTTGGCTATTAAAGTACTAAAATTGGCTGTATATGGAATACATTATTTGTTAAGATGACATTTAAGGAAGTTATATTTAGTTTGACAAATATGATTATTCAAACATGACATCAGAGTGATAAATATGCTCATATTATTATATGATTTAAAATGTGCCATCTTTACTGTACAATATGCTGCTCACATACTGTATAAGGGAATTCTGCAATTAATCGTGTTCAAATGCATTATAACATTTACCAAGAGTAGGCCTACTAATCAAGTATGGGAATCTAACGAGGAGCACTTGAATGTAGCTTTAATAGGCTACACTTGCGCAGTTCAGGGACCGCTGTCTGTCTGCTGTTGCCCACCAGTTTTTCAACTAAAACGTCACTGAGCAAAAGGTTAGTATTATACGTGCGGACTGGTAACAGTTGACAATAAGGCTTTCGGGATATAGAGACAATGTTAAGTACCCTGCTAATTGAGTAGATATTATGACATTGGAGTTGGGGAACGATGCAATTTCAGTGTAATATCAAATAAAGGGTCAATAATGACTAGGCTATCCAACATGTAACGCTGGAATAGTTGGAAGTAAATTACAAAAACGTTATAAATTAAACTGCATCGACCTGTTACGCATTTTTGCTAACGTTATTTTACTTTGTAATGAGGCGTTCATGTAATATCGTAAATACCATACACGCGGTTTAAATAGACCTTTTAGGGAAACGTTTGCCTAAATGGATTCAAAGCAGTTGCAAAACTGATAGATAGTAGACAAATGTGGGGATTCACGTGTCTACACTTCGTTAATTTAATTTCACATGTGAACAAACGCTTACCAATATGCTACATTACATTGTAATTGATGCTACTTTTACCTTGTATATTGCCTGATCGCTGATTTAGCAATATGTGTAACCATTTTTTAATGTTATCTTCATATGCTCCAAATTAAATCGTATGGAGTAAATTAGTTCATATTCTTCCGATTATGCCGGATTGCCATGAATGTGGCACATCGTTTACATAACAGCAGGGATTTGGGGCGCCAGATTAGAGTATGCACCTTCCAATCACTACATGTGGAACATTAACTTTACATTTGAATGGGCATTTGGTTAAGAAAAGAGTCTTGAAGAGACTCATACATATTTTAATTACATATGATTATAATGATATTGCTGGCAAATCGTTTTATTTTCATGAACAAGTCAATTATTTGTTTTGTAAGAAACCACTTGATTTGTATACGTTCTTTTGTTTAATAGAACAAATAAAAGTTGAATGTTCTTCTCAGTCAGCATCCAGTCTCCTTTGCTCACTCCTCCCTTGTTTCAGAGGGGAGCTTTTGTCTGGGTTGAATGAATGGAGGTCTACAACATGTTTAGTTCCTTCTGTTCAAAAATATTTCAATATTCTTTCCTCAGTCTTCTCCTCTCAGATGTCTACTGCTCAGAGTCTGCGTCTCCTCCAATGTTACTCTAAGCCAGGTACTATACTGAACCAGGTATCAATGAAACAATAACATAACATTTGGCATCATCAACATCATTTTATCACATTTGTATGTATCTCCAGGCACCTTTAGATATGGGCCTGGTGCCATTCGCCAATTCAGTCTCAGTGTGCTGAGAGAGGGCTACAGTAAGTATTGCTACAAGTCATAAACTCAAATGTGGCAGAATAACCATTTGTGACTGATATTTGAAATGATCCAACCATTCTGTCTCCATTTATTCTCCTTGTAGAGTTCGTAAATGCTCAGGAACTGCCAACAGACATGAAGTCCATCACTGACCGAGCCGCCAACACCCTCCTGTGGACAGAACTCTTTAGAGGTACTGGGATTGCTATGAAATCAATGTAGTGCATTTGGTCTTAATGTTGTTCTACATTTTTCTTATTGAAGAAGTGCTGTCACATTATCAGATTTTCCCTGCATTAATAATCATTGCCTAAATAATTCCCAATTATGAGGTTATGTGATGTCTTCAGAAAAATGAAAGAACAAAAAAACAATGTTATCAGTTGTCATCTTTAACTTTGTTTATTGTCTGTTTTTTCTCTTTTTTGGCAAATTAAATACACTCAAAATAGAAAGGTGGAGAGAGAGTCTGGTATATTTACACAATATTATCATAGGTGTAGTTTTAACGTGATTAATATATAAATGTTCAAATCATCAATACTGGTATATGGCGCCACCCCTAGTGTCAGCCAACCATTACTTGCCTGATACAGCTTATAGTTCTCAAAAAATGTATCAAAATACATAAATGAGTCCAACAATTGGATTACTTGTTGCACAGCACAGTCTAGCATGAGTCAGTTCAACATACACAATATGTATTAATTTAAGGCTGAAAATAGTTGTTATAGTTTATTTGATTTTATGAGAGGGACAATCAAATCGCAAAACTACTAAATGTCAATAATAACACAGTAAAATCCAAGTCAGTATTTGCATCAATGTAAAGAGAGTTAAGGAGAAGTCCATGTTAATTGGTAGCAACAATTACTGTAACCACAAAGCAATTGCAGTAAATACCTGGACTGCTGTGATTAATAATACTCCAAAATTGTAAAAACGTAATAAAAGTCCACATAAATGTAACATAAAAGTCTCTAATACATGCACGTTTCCTTCAGTTTGAGCACAATTGTTAAAATGTGTAGCCCCTAGCTCCTTTTTCAAAAATGGAGCAACATATGAAGGAATGAGCTTAGTGCTTTGTGCCACAGACAGGGTATAGGGAAGTCAGAATGTATCAAGAAACATACAAGTGCTTTGGCAGTCCTTTAATGGAATGTATTGACGATAACATCAACAATAATAGTTAAGTGAGTCATAACCCTCACCTTCCTGCAGGTTTGGGGATGACCATGAGTTACCTGTTCCGTGAACCTGCCACCATCAACTACCCGTTTGAGAAGGGCCCTCTGTCCCCCCGCTTCCGTGGAGAGCACGCCCTCCGCCGCTACCCCAATGGAGAGGAGCGCTGCATCGCCTGCAAGTTGTGTGAGGCCGTCTGCCCTGCTCAGGTGAGCACCAGCACACTCAGGACCTGCTAAAAGAAAGAAAGCAGTATTATAGGGACTATCATTCCTTATTAGCAGCTCTTTGGTGTTTTCTTGCTTCTTTTTAGTATTTACTCTCTGTTAGGGGATACATAATCTATCAGTGTCCTCAAGCAGCAGCAGCTCAACAAATGTGGGATACTTGAAGGCACATTTAGGGAAATCCCCTCCTGAAGTAATCTATGTTTCGTAAACATTTGGATATTTTTGGGCTGAATTTTCTTTCCTTATAAAAACCTTGTTAGTTTACTGTAATGAACAAAACTTAAAATCGTTGTTCAGCTACATTTATATTGTTGAAGAGGACCCATCAAGTACTTGAATGCTACACACTATTCTCATCATAGTACATCCTGCCAGGGGCAGACTGGCCATCGGGACGTTCAGGACGAATCCCGATGGGCCGGTACTGAAATGGGCTGGTCGGACGATGTGGGCCGGTCGGATAAGTCACTAGCACCCCCCCTGTCGACAATTTACTAGCGGTATTTACTTGCGGTACCGAGGTGGGCCGGCGGTACCGAAGTGGGCCGGTCGAGAGTCCCGTGCTGATTTGAAGTCCCAGTCCGCCCCTGCATCCTGCATTCTGTTAATGGTGTGATTTGATTTCTACAGACTTAGCACATGTATTCTCAATGCCCATGCTCAATTAATATCACAATACCTGCTGCTTTGGCTGTGTCAATTCAAAAATATGTGTCTATATGGAAAGACCTTTATCATCAGCGGTAATAGCAATGGTAGATATTAATTATTATTGTTGACTAGTTAGAATTCCAAGCCAACATGTCTATAATAGTTTATTTTATCTAACCCTTCCACTATAGTGAAATTGTTCTTGCTACTAGTCAGCCATACTAATTAAATATAAAAAATGGTTGCCATGGTGTATGCCCTTTGACTGTTTGACCTACGTTTTGTCTCTTTCCTTCTCTCCATATACGGAACACAGGCCATTACCATTGAAGCTGAGACTCGAGCTGATGGTAGCAGGAGAACTACGCGCTATGACATTGATATGACCAAATGTATCTACTGCGGCTTCTGCCAGGAAGCCTGCCCTGTTGATGCCATTGTTGAGGTAAAAATATGCTGCTTATCCTGTATACTGAAAAGGGCGGAACCAATGTGAAGTAAAACTGTATTTAGTCAGGGCTCTGTTCTTGGTCCCCTCCTCTTCTCCTTGTACACAAACTTGCTCGGATCAGTCATTAGCCCGCATGGTTTTTCTTACCACTGCTACGCTGACGACACCCAATTAAGTCTGTCCTTTCCCCGCTCAGAGACCCAGGTCGTTGCACGCATCTCTGCTTGTCTAGCTGACATCTCTCAGTGGATGTCTGCTCACCACCTCAAGCTCAACCTTGACAAGACTGAGCTGCTCTACCTCCCGGGAAAAGATTGTCCCACTCTTGACCTAACAATCAACATCGGCACCTCAGTTGTTTCCCCGACTCAGACTGCAAGGAATCTGGGTGTGACCCTAGATAACAACCTGTCCTTCACTGCAAACATCGCTGCTACAACCCGTTGCTGCAGATACACGCTTTACAACATCAGGAAGATACGTCCCCAGCTGACACAGAAAGCGACTCAGGTTCTGGTCCAGGCTCTCGTCATCTCACGCCTAGACTACTGCAACTCCCTCCTGGCTGGTCTACCTGCATGTGCCATCCGACCTCTGCAGCTCATCCAGAATGCAGCGGCTCGTCTGGTCTTCAACCTTCCTAAATTTTCCCACACCACTCCGCTCCTCCGCTCCCTTCACTGGCTTCCGGTAACTGCTAGAATCCACTTCAAGACACTGGTACTTGCTTACCATGCTGCGAATGGATCTGGCCCTTCCTACATCCAGGACATGGTTAAACCGTACACCCCAGCGCGTGCACTACACTCTGCATCAGCCAAACGACTCGCTGCGCCCTCGCTGCGAGGGGGACCCAAGTTCCCATCGGCAAAAACACGTGGGTTTGCTGTCCTGGCTCCAAGATGGTGGAATGAGCTCTCCATTGACATCAGGACGGCAGATAGCTTGCACATCTTCCGGCGCAAACTGAAAACTCATCTCTTTCGACTCCACTTCGAGCGTTAGAACTATTAACGAAGCACTTTTATACTAATAAAGGACTGGCTTACCTAAAGCCAGTTGAGTAGCACTTGAAATGTTTGGCTCTATGAAACCTGATGTACTTATATGATTCTGTTTTCTTCAAGGTTGTGTCTTCCTGGTCGAATGTACTTATTGTAAGTCGCTTTGGACAAAAGCGCCAGCTAAATGCAATGTAATGTAATGTAATGTAATGTAGTCACTTGAAAAGTATCTAATTAACAGGATTTTTAGACCATTGTTTAACACTAGAACCGCCAGAGGTCGCTGTATACCTAAAACCGCCAACGGGTCAAATTTACCCGCTATTGATTTTCAAGGTACAATGTTCTTTTATTTATCATACAGAACAGTGAGTTTTGATCGCACAGGGATGAAACTTATACCAATAGAATCTGTGGACTCTCAGCTTTTCATATTATATAGTTTGTGCAGATAGCATGAAGTATATAATATCGCTACAGAGTGCTGATTTAAACGCTTGGTGTTAGACTTGTGTTTTGTTAGGTACAAATCTCTCTATCTCTCTCTCTCTATAACTATCTATCGATCTATCTATAACTATCTGTCTATCTGTCTATGGCAATTTTTTGGGCGATCTGACTTCATATTGACAATTTCTAACAACAGAACTACATAACACACTTTCAGTAAAAGTCACAGACTGGGAGACTTTAATATTTTATTGAAAAAAAGTTAATCAAAAAACAGCTGCGGGTAAAATTGACCCGTTGGCGGCTCTAGTGTTAAGGGAATCATTTTGGAAAATAAGATCATTATCTGTTTCACATTTAACTTTTTTTTTTCATCAATCATTCCCTCAGGGTCCAAACTTTGAGTTCTCCACAGAGACTCATCAAATCAAATCAAATCAAGTTTTATTTATATAGTGTGGTGACCACCTATTTAACCACTGGGACATCATTCAAACTTGGAACTACAGTTGCGGTTATTGTTCCCACACGGACATGTTATGGGTTACCTATAAATAGTGTGTACCCTCTTGGCTCTCTCTTGTCGACCCGGGCTGCGACCCGACAACATGTCCTTTGCAGCTTGTGAATAAATCACTATTCTTGCACCTTCCTTGCACCGCCTCTGACTCCATATCTCTCGGCACTACAATAGCACATTTATAAACGATTTTTGGTCGAGCCAAGGTGCTGTACATATAATAAAATTAGCCTACAGTAGAGACACTTTACAGCAAATACAACAGCACAGATTGTTCAGAATATCAGTATGAGAAAAACGACACCCTCTGTCCTTAGACCCTCACATCGTACAAGGAAAAACTTCCAGAGAAAACCCACAGTTTAAGGGGAAAAAATGGGAGAAACCTCAGGGAGAGCAACAGAGGAGGGATCCCTCTCCCAGGACGGACAGACGTGCAATAGATGCCGTGTGTAAATCGAAGAGATAATACACTTTACAGCATATAGACCGAATGTTAGGAAATGCATGTGTCTGTAATAAGAAGATGAATCCACGAGGATGTCAGCTACAATCCTGAGGAAGCCATCAGGGAAGCAGCATGGCGAGACCCAAGGCAGGACCGCAGAGACAGGTTCAGCCACGACCCGAAGTCCACGACTTGAAAGTCTCATGAGGAGCTGCTGTACAACGAAGAGAAGCTGCTCAACAATGGAGACCGCTGGGAGGCGGAGATAGCAGCCAACATACAGGCAGACTACCTGTACAGATAGATCTGTACACTGCACGCAAAGATGTGTTACATGAAAAGGATAAAGTCCTCCTGTGCAATAAAGACATTTTTCTAGCTTTAAGATATTCATGTGAGTTACACAAACAGTGAAGCCTTGCAGCCTTAGATCCTGTCGGCAGAACACAGAGTAAACACGCACAAATCATATCTTGCGTTGTAAAGATGGATGGTAATGTACTTTATGATGTTGAATTTATAGTCTGTATCCTTAGTAGCCTCCACAGTCCGTGATGGACTATTTTCTGTTGCACTTTATTTGATGTAAGAGTTTTCTGAAAGAGTTTAGTTATGTACTAACATTTAATATACTGAAATAAATCATATTTTAAACCTTTAAGTGTTCCTTTTGCAGTTGCATTAGAGCTGATGCTGACAGTGTTCGGATCACAGTTAGCATTTTCAGGGTAATTGTAGGTGAACAAAACAAACCCATGAAAATAACACACAACATGATAAAACAGTTTTGGTTTTTAAAGATTCAGATTAAAAGGTTTTATGTCATAACTAGGGCTGTCAGTCGATTAAAATAGTTAATCGCGATTAATCGCAAATTAATCGCACATTTTTGATCTGTTTTAAATGTACCTTAGAGGAATATTTTTCAAGTTTTTAATACTCTTATCAACATATGAGTGGACAAATATGCTTTCTGCTAATGTTTATTATCATTTGAACAATGACAAATATTCTCATGAATATTAAACACAACAACTTCTGAACATTACAAATATTTGCCTCAATTCAACCTGGAACCTAATACAATACAAATGGTGTGTGTGTGTGTGTGTGTGTGTGTGTGAGATGGATCGTTGGAGCTATGTGCAACTCAAGGCATATGCTCGAACGGGAGCTGCCTGGACGCTGCAATCATGTTGCGCACTATCCGTGCTGAGTGTGCTGACTTCTCGTACACTGTCCCACTGTCTGGCTTCCTGCATAAAGTCAAGTGCTCGGTGCAGTTGTGGCGAAATGTCGCTCCTCTGTTTTCATTTAAACAGCTCCTTATATCCGTTAGCGCAGCTAGCTAGCACCAGATGCTAACAACAACAATGCACGTAAGGTCTCTCTCTCGCTCGCTCGGGCCACACATACACACACCCTCCCGGTCCTCCCAACAGCCAGTCGGTGCCTGCCGGTGAGCGTGGAAGTGTAGTCTGCCACAAGCGGGCAGCAGGAGCGGGGCTGTCAGCATCAGCTTGTAGATGGTATTTTAAACTCGATGCGCTCTGAAACTACGGGGCGGCCGAGGAAAAAAATACACATGCGTTAATCGCGTTAAAATAATTAGTGGCGTTATTTTTTGTTGTTGTTATTAACGCGTTAATTTGACAGCCCTAGTCATAACATATTCAAAACAACGGTGTAATTATGTAATGTATGAAAAACTTAGAATAGGTATTTAATTAATCAATTAGCATAACACATAACAATGATAAAATAATCATTCATTTAATAGTGGCCGACCCCTCCCACCCTGGACACAAACTGTTCACCCCTGTCCTCTGGCAGGAGGCTGCGCTCCATCTCGCCACCTGAACAGTTTCTTCCATGGATGTATAATAAGAACTGAATACAGCGTGGGAGGCGGGGCCTCATTCATTCCTATGAGAGTTGCTCATTAGCGCATGATGATAAAATGACCCAACTTTTGAGAGAGCGAAACGTCACAGAGTACCTGGCATGCATGAGAAGTACCCGTATGTGCGCTCATAGCGCATGCGCAACTTTAACCAAAATGCTCGTTCACATCAAGCACGTCAATTTGCGTACACGTAACAGCACCGCGCGTTCATGACAGCATGGAAATGATTTGTTATTATGATGGATTTGATATTAACGAGGCGGCAGTTAGCAGCTAGTCATTATGCTAATGTGAACATCAATCGTTATGTACTTATATTACGCTGTAACAGGATCTAGTGATATCCAAGCAACAGAGCTTCATTTAGCATGAAAGAATGATTGCACTGTATATATATATATATATATATATACTTATAATAATAAGTAATATTAACTTTATTTAATACAACATTTACAACAAGTGGCTGTGGCTGCGAGGGAGTGCGGTCGTCTTTCCACCAGAAGGTTGTGGGTTCGATCCCAGCCCATGCAGTCAACCTGTCGATTTATCCTTGGGCAAGATATACCCTGAGTTGCTCCCGATGGCATGGCCAACGGTTTGTGAATGTGTATTAATGTTACTTAGTTCCTAGAGTAACATACTGCTCTGTATGAATGGGTGAAT